GGGCTGGCAGGGCGGCAGCCACGTCTCCGCTGCTGCGGGAAGGTGGTGAGCAGAGGCCACAAGCTGCCTTTCTGCGAACGACAAGGCTTGGTTGGGGTTGCCGCAGGGATGCGGGGTGGAGCAGGTTGCCTCACTGCACTGGGGTGCAGCAAAGGGAACAGAAACTCCCAAATTCAGGTCCCTGTTTTGACCTGAGTAGAAGGAAGCCTTTTCTGTCTTGGTTTAAGCTGGGACTGGAGCCAGCTGTGCTGTCGGGAGACTTGCAGCAACACCCCAGATCTGCGACCCCCAGGCAAGTGCTGTGGGGCAGAGACCCTGCTGCAGATAACTGATATTTAAACATTCTGACGTGAACAAAGAAACCTAATCCCATCCCAAGGATAATGCAGTAGAAAATGCAGTTGGACAGCTGTCACTTAGCTTCAATTAGCAGAGACTTCCAAGTGTTTTGGAAGTGTCCATGGAGACTTTTAATAATCTTTCTAATGAGACCTAATCACAGTGCCCCTGTAAAAGTAGGAGCCAAGTGAGACATTCCTTCTGGACAGTGAAATCCCATGCTGAAGGACAGCTGCTGACATGAGTGCACACGTTCAGTCCAGTCGGAAATCTGCGTGCTTGGCTCTGCCCCAGGGAATCGCTGCCTGATTCTGGGGTTTGGTGGTTGTTTTCAGCAAAGATTTAATACTGGCCAAACTCTTTGCCTTTTAAAAAAATATTTAATGTGATCTCGGAGTAGAGGAGAGCAAAAGGAAAGGCATTGGGTTAACTACGTCCAGCCAGACCCTCTCATTAAGTCAGCAGGGCTGGGCAGATCCGTGCAGTCTGAGAACATGGTTCATTTAGCTGGTGTTCCTCGCAATTACTGTCATATGCTCTGGGTGAGGTTCTAAAGATGAAAGACCTTCTGTCTCTGACGACGGTCTGTTATCTCTCAGCTCGCTGTGTACTGAGACAATGCATGTATTTTACTTTAGGTGGAGCCCTGAGATACCAGTCAGGAAAAATCACACCATTAAAGAGGTAATATTCGAGTTTTTTAAAACAGTTGCGTGTGGTGGGTGGAGCGTGTCAGAGAGGTGTCGGGTGGATCTCGTAGGCTTTGAGGTTGATGGCTAACAGCCTGGTGGAAGGGCTCAGTAGCCGGATTTTGCCGTGGGTGTGGGCGGCTTGAGCGTTGTCTTGGTTTGGGGTGGACGGGAACGATGAAATGTTTGGTCATTATCTGATGTTAGATGAACACAGCGCAGGGGATCAATATTAATTTCATGGCGTTGTGGGCAGCGGGAACGGATCTGCTCCTGGCAGCAAATGACATTGCGGGGAGGGGGAACTGTTTTGCTTCTTACCTGGTGGTAGGACTGGGTGGAGACCAAGCTGCAGCGACAAATCCAGGTCCTGCATGTTCCCTCTGCCTCCTGCCAATGAAGGATAATCTGACTCCATTAAAATCTTTCACAGTGCATGAAATTGCTCTATTAGCAGTTAATGGCTACTGCTGGCTAGTCTCACAGATAGTATTTCAAAGGAAATTTTGCTTGGAAAACATGGATTTCAGTAAATACGGTACAGTCCTATTTATAGCACTAGTACAGTTGTTCCTTGTGTCTAAGAGGAACAAGCCTGAATGCAGTCAGCACTTAAGCACCAGGTTAGCTTTTTTAAAACTGAGAGACCTTATCTTGGGTATCTTGCTCAAATGGGCCTTTTGAGGTGGGAGGAACTGTAGCTGTCTGGGCCTTGGGAGCTGCTGGAGGGCTGTGGAGGAAAGAGGCGAGGAGATCTCTCTTGTTGCTTCCAGGGTGCCAATGCTGAGGATCTTGCTGACCAACACAAAAGTCCCTCGAAGCACCAAGGTCTTGGTGGCTGGTGTCAAAGAGAAGATCCTGAAGGTACAGCACCTGGGTGGTCGTGGGGGTGGAGATGTGTGCTGGGTTAAGGGATCGTAGAATGGTTTGGGTTGGAAGGGACCTTAAAGATCATCCGGTTTCTCTCCCCTGGCCCTGGGCAGGGACACCTTCCACCACACCAGGTTGCTCCAAGCCTCATCCAGCCTGGACTTGGACACTTCCAGGGATGGGGCATCCGCAGCTTCTCTGGGCAACCTGTCCCAGTGCCTCCCCACCCTCTGCGGGAAGAACTTCTTCCTGATATCCAATCTCAATCTCCCTCTTTCAATTTAAACCCATTACCCCTTGTCCTGTCACTACAGGCCCTTGTGAAAAGTCCCCCTCTGATAACTGTCATGAAGGATAACCCTCAAGAGCTCAGATCCCCTCATGTGGGACTGCAGGTCTCATGGGGATCTAGGGAGATCCCTCCTGTGGTTGCTGCATTCCTACCTGCTGCTAGCTACCCCCAGCTGCCCTGGGAATGGGGGTTCAGATCACCTCCTCCCTCTCTCCAGCACTAACAGGGCTTCCCACAAAAATTCTCACTTCCTTCCTTTGGTCTGTTTCCCCCTCTTCCTCCAGTTCCTGTTGGTGGGAACAACTTACTGTGTCCCTGCTCTGCAGGGTTGGTGCCGTGAATGAATAGCCCCATGTGGGGTGAGGAATTGTCCAGCTCCAAGAGACTGGGGCTGGTTTTATCAACGAGGAATTGGAAGACTCGCGAGCAGTCTTCTCACATCGTTCCTTCCCTCCTTCTCAGTTCCCTGCTATAATGAACCCGGTGCTGGACTCCATCGATGCAATTTCTCAGGAGTGCCAAAGTGTTCTGGAAGCGATGCCGGCAAATCCATCACCGGAGTATTACCCTGTGCTGGAGGTAAGGGGCTTGTTCGCTGGTATTTTTAGACACTGTTACTGTTGAACATCAAAATGTCGTTTAAAGAACATTAGGTCTAAGAAAAAATTTGATAGCAGGAAATGTTCAGTGCTGAGTGAAACCATGGTCTGTGTGCACGGCTTTTAATGCCCTTCCTGGAGCCAGAGGACAGAAAATGCTGCTGGTGTCTCTCCACAGCAGGGCACTTGGGGGGAGGGAGTGGGCCTGGTGCTTTGTGGATCTGTAGCTCCGGCAGTTTTGTTTCCCTTTGCTAAGAAACATGGAGCGAGTTCAGGCCAAGATGCTGCCTCCCTGCGCCGCAGGCCGGCCGCGTTCATTCTGGCAGTCGCTGCCTGTGAAATAACTGCTTTGTCACTGCCAAGGCTGGAATGAAGAGTGGAGCGCCCAGCAGCCACTGGTTTGTGATGGACTGGTTACGAGCCAGCTCCCGTTGCTCTGTGCTCATCCTGGCTCCGGAGAATAACAGAGTTGTGCCCAGAGCTGACCTGACATTGATGCATGAGGTGCATACAAAGATCTGTTTGTCTTGGCTTTGTTCAGAGTAGGAGAGGCTGCTGTGGTGGGGGGAAACACGCTTCCAAGGAGGGTTTTTCAGCGCTGAGAGCACTGTAACACTGATTCATACAACCGTGGGGTAAGGACATGTGGCAGTGTCCCAGCTGAGGCAAACCTGGCCCGGCCCTGGGTGCCAAGTGACTTGGATGATCAAGAACCGTTTGGTACCAGCGGTACAATTCCTTGTTGGCATCTGGATCCCTCCCTTCGGCTCTCCCGAGAGGACCGCTGCTTGTCCTTGCTCTCGCTGGCAGGTTGTCCTCTCCACAAGCAGGAGAGTGCTCTGGAGGTGCAGCAGGGGCCCTGGAGTGGGACAGAGGGCTGCTGTCCCCCCTCGACTTGCGGCAGCGGTGTAGGGCTGCTGTGCGAGCAGGTGGTGGGTGCAGCCGCCTTCTCTCTGCTTCCGGTTGTGTTGCACCTCAGTGCCTGTGGGTGAGCTGCTGCTGGGACTGCGGCACGCGTGGGAGGGTGTCCCATGGGATTCGCAGCAAAATCCTGCTCCTTTTGCTCCAAGAGGGTTTCTGTACCCATCAGCGTGGGCTGGAGAAGGGAAGGCTCTGGGGAGACCTTAAAGCACTTTCCAGTACCTGAAGGGGCTACAAGGAAGCTGGGGGGGACTTTGTACAGGGGCATGGAGCGACAGGACAAGGGGCAACGGGTTTAAACTGGAAGAGGAGAGATTGAGATTGGACATCAGGAAGAAATTCTTCCCGCAGAGGGTGGGGAGGCACTGGGACAGGTTGCCCAGAGAAGCTGTGGATGCCCCATCCCTGGAAGGGTCCAAGGCCAGGCTGGATGAGGCTTGGAGCAACCTGGTCTAGTGGAAGGTGTCTCTGCCCATGGCAGAACGTGGGACTGGGTGGGCTTTAAGGTCCCTTCCTTAAACCGTTCTATGATTCCCTGATCCTAATGAGGGCTGAGCTGGCATCAGCTGGGGCAGATCTGGAGTCTGTTTGTAGCACGGCTTCCAACAACTCCTCCCCACCTTAATGTGTTATTGCTCAGACTGTCAGAAGTCTTGGGAAGCAGGGCAGAGGAGCGCTAATTTGACCTGTGCTTTGAGATCCTTGCATGGAAGATGCCAGAGCATCCTTGCACACGATGCCTGGGAAGCAGCACTACATGGAGCACGTTTCTGCCTTGAATCTGTTGTTTCACCTCGTGCTTGTGTTGCCCGCAGAGGCACAGCTGATTATATGCAGCGCATATATATATATATTTTTGCCTGTTTGTGAAATGTGCAGCTCTGGACAGCATTGTATTTGAACCATCGAACTAGTCTACTGTGTCATAAGCTGTCATCCGATTCCTGGCAGATTTTGGATCAGGAGATGACAGGTGTCTTGGATCATCATAGGCAGTGCTGTGCCCTCACTCAGGCATATAAAGAGGCCTCTAGATGGACGTCTGTCCAACCCAGCACCAACCTTGTGATGTACGCGCTCTGCATGCCACTGGCTCGCTCAGCTCCGTGTGTTCGTTTAAACGCTTCTGCTCTGGAAGGGGGGAGCTGGATTATGTCTGCATCGTCCCCTCCTGTGCCGTGTTGGCAGGAGACCAGTGCAGAGCTGAGGGTGACGTGACTGACACCTGCCACTCTGCCCAGCGTCCCTCCCAGCTCGCAGGGAAGCGCTTGGTGGCACCGGATGGAGAAGGGAGCACAGGGCTCCTGTTAGTGTTAAGGAGCCTTTCTGGGATTGGCCCCCTCTCAGCTGGCTCCCTGCCTGGGACAGCCTCTGGAACAGTGAGGGAACAGCAGCCACGTGCCGGGGTGATGATCGAGTCAAGGTGTCAGACCAGGGTTGCTGAGAAAAGCTTCCTCCACTGATGGTGCTGGTGAGCTGGGAGGGCACTTAGGCACCCAATGTCAGCTCCCGGCTCCACTCCAGGCTTGCTCTGAGTGCTCCAAACCCTTCCCTCTCTTCCTTAATCCCTTACCTCTGTTTCTGGGAGGAGAGAAGCTGTAACTCCTACCTCTCTGTGGCGTTGTCCATCCCTTGAGCCCTTTGGCTGCGGTGGCAGCTTTCTCCAGGAGCGGCAGGATTTGTGGCAGAGATGCACTTGCAGCTCTGCCTGGAGGGCAGCCTTGCTTGGAGAGTGGCTTGCGCTGCTCTCCCCCGAAGGGAGAGCCCTCACGACCCCACTTGAGCCGGGTGCCACATTCCCAGCGTGATGCTGGTGAGCAGCCCCTCGGCTTGCAGCCCGGCCCCTGCCCGGGAGGAGGGAAAAGTGCTGCACAGTGCAAACAAGGGGAGGTAACTCCACGTCGCTTCTCCAGCGATGCCATTTCAGACTTGGCTGTGTCAGAAGTCCCCTGGAGTTAGTTATGCTGGATGGATTGCAGAGCAGGGTGACAGCCAGGAATGAGAGATGCTGGCTTAGTGCCCTTCCCACGGCCAGTGAGGGGGCTTGGACAGTCTCCTGCTCAACACTCGTGTGACAAGGGAGAGGTGAAGCAGTCGGGAGGCATCAGGGAGCGCTGATTTAGCGCCCAAAATAAATGCCTGCTGGCAGCTGGCGGTGACCAGGATTTTCTGTCGTCCCTGATCAAGGGGATCCAGAAGCTGTTGTACCACTGTCACTGCAGTGGGCAGCAGCAGCACAAACCGTGAGGGTGGGACAGGGACCTAAGAGCAGCCCGGGGCTCAGACCCTGGCCTCGGCCTTGCTGCCCAGTGCCCGTGGCAGAACTCCCTGCGGACACGGGCTGCAGTGGGCAGCAGCAGCACAAACTGTGAGGGTGGGACAGGGACATAAGAGCAGCCCGGGGCTCAGATCCCGGCCTCGGCCTTGCTGCCCAGTGCCTGTGGCAGAATTCCCTGCGGCCACGGGC